ACCAATCACATACCAGAACGTTATTTTCTCTGATGATCTGAGTGTCAAGAAAACTAATACTATCATTGGACTGCAGTTCGTGTGTAAACTGCAATCTGCTGTGAAAAGAATTAAAGATATTAAGTACCTCATCAATACAATTATCAGGTATTGCCAATAAGATGTCATCAACATACCTATGGTATATAGGGATGGGTGTCTTTAATGAGTTTAGTGCTTTTAATTCTAAATCCTGCATCGTGATGTCTGCCATGATTGGAGACAATGGGGAACCCATTGGCGTACCGAACGTTTGTCTGTATATTTTGTTGTCAAAAGTGAAGTAGGTAGAAGTCATGACAAATTCTAATGCTAATAAGAATTCTTGCATGTTGATTTTAGTATGCAATTTTATATATTTCCATCTCTTGGCAACACCGTCTAATGCAAGTTGTATTGGCACGTTGGTAAAAAGAGATACAACATCAAATGAGCAGAGAGAGCAATTCTTTTCTAATATAAAACCTGTTAAATTATTATATTTCCTTATATAGCTATAAGGAAAGACAGAGAGCGGTTATATATATCCGTCTCCGTCTACTGCTCGAAGTTGGCCGAAGCGCCGAGCGCACACGGACACGGCTGTTCGCCTGTGTGCGCATCCCCTCCATTTGCTGTTGCATGCTGCAAAAGTCTTGAAACTGGCATCCCTGCTATCGCGTCGAAGTCCGAGTCCGTTCGTGTTATTTATTGAGAAAAAAAAGGAATTTATTGTATGGCGGCGCGTCACGTTGCAAGAAAAAGGGGCCCGTGGAGTCCCCAGGACGTAACACTTTAATTAAAGAATATTTATTCCTATATTCTTTCCTTCTATTCAAGTTTATATGGCATAATACTTAATAAAATTAATGGTTTAGGTTATCAAATTAGTAAAGAAGAATTCTACACCAAAATTTTCAGAGATTGAAGAAATATTATTATTGTCAATTATTGAAGATGTGAAGGAAATTGTGGAGAATCCAAAAACTGACGGTCCAACTTTAGAGAAAAAGAAGGCAGCTTGGGAACTTATTACAGAGCAATATGCAGATAATGCATCAAACAGTGGTTTCCCTGTAAGGACAGAAGCACAATTAAAGAGATGCTGGATTACTTTAAAATATAGGTATTTTAATAATATTATGAATTTAATATTTTACATATGTATATATATGTAAGTAATGTTAATAAGTATACTGATTATAAGTATACTGTTTATGTACAGGACATGAATCAGTTAATCACATAAACAATGTTTATGTAATTTGTGACTTGCTTTTTTGACAATTTTTTGCTTTCTTTTAAACAATTTATGTAATCTTCTATATGTAACTAATTGAAAAGTGTGTGAAGTAACTTAAAATTATCTCTCTCTATGAAATTCATTTATTTTGAGTAACTTTATTATATTTTCGATTTTCAGCTTTCAATTGCAGTTTTCTTTTAATTCAAGTTTATAATATTGTAAATTAAAGTATATTTTTTGGCCTTATTTTGCAATATGATAAAAATTTTAAAAATATTTGTTTCTTGAAAAATGTTAAAAATTGTATATCTGTAACATTATATATAATATTACATAAAATATTTTTGCACGATAGATGCAGACAATCAGATGCAGAAAGAAAACAGCATCAATTAAAAACTGGTGGCTGCCCACCAATAGTGATTGATGATAACGAAGAAGATATGCACGAAAGAGTTCGTAGTATTGTTCCAACAATTAATTTTATGTTAGAGAATCAATGGGAATAGTACAAGTGAAATCGAAAGTAATTCATGTTCTCTTTCTATTTAATTTCTACTTTACTAGTATTTTTTTATAAATTTCTAAAAAATATGATGATGATTTAGGAAATATGAAAGATACGCAAGATGTATTTGAAGAAGAATAAATAGGAAATACCAAAGACTTTGGCAAATATAAAAGAGAAAATTACAACAAAAGTAATAATGAAAATGATAGTGTACAACCTTGCTATCTTGCTACTGATTTGACTGCCAGTACTGATTTAAGCAAATCAGTAAAAAAAAGTTTATTCTTTTTTAGTATATTTTTTTTTAGTATAAATTATAATTATTAAAACAATTTTTACTACTTTTAAAATATGTGCAGTTTCAAAGAAAATCTTAAACAAATGTTTTACCTTAAATAATGCTGGGAATACAATAAAAAAATACCGGAAAGTAAAATAAAAGCATCAGAAAGTGACAGTTCCTTGAGCAGACATTCTTCTACGTCTAGTTGTACAGCTGATGAGTGTGGGTCTTATATAAGCACGTGTATGAATGGATGTATAACTTTATTGCATGTAACTTTATTGTATACATTTTTCATTAAAGAGTTGATATAAAATTCTATTCTATTTTTTTTAAAAAACAATTTCTTAAAATACATTTGTAATTAAATTTAAAATTATAAATTTTTTTATAATTTTACTAATAATATTGTAACATTGATATTTTATTGTAATATTTGGATTTTATTGTTGTAGTAAGTAGTGTACAACGAAAACCTCTGAATGCTCTTCAAAATATTTTATCACAAAATGAAGAAAGATTTAAAAATCGGCTTGAAAAGTGTGAAGGTATGAATTATATCGTACCTTGAATATAACTTAAAATTTTTTAAATGTATATGTTCTAATAGGAAAAACATTTTATAAAGTATTGCTTTTTTACAACTTTTGGTTTATTTCAATTATTTAAATTATTTAAATTATTTTATTTTTCATTGATTAGTGTTTTAGTAAAAAATTTTCTACACTTAAATTGTACTAACATCTTTTGAGTTAACATATTTTTCCTTTATTGTTTTATTAGTTTTATTATTTTTTAATTATTATTTATTATAATTATGCATATCACAATTGTTTTAGTTATAATATTTATTTTGGAATTTTATTTATAAAGTTTATCACTTTTTTTATTTTTGTACAGATGATTTACATGAAGAACCATTAAATAAAAAAAGAAAACTTCCAACTTTGGAAATTGAGCAAGATTAAGGATTCAAAAATTAGAAGAGTCAATGAAGCAGCAATCAGAACTGCATACGGAAAAGCTAAAAATTTTTCAAAAGGAATGCGAGTATTGGGAAGAAATGAAAACTGCTGCAAAATTTGAAATGCAAGCAATGCAAGAACAACTTAAATATTGGAGGGCAAAGTGCAATTGAAAGTGCAAATGAAAGTAAAATCTAAAGTATTAACAAAAGTGATTCAATTGATTAATAATATTAAAATATCAACCGTAATGATCTCACATAATAATAATTAAGTGTTACAAAAAGAACTAAAGCTTTCTTTTTTTTTTCTAATACAAAAGCGTTTTATTTGTCATGCTTGTGATAAACTGTTCTGTTTTTAAGCACTAAATACTTTTTAGAAAAGTAATATATAAAACTGTTAATTATTTTTGTTTTGTTATTTATGTTGAAAATAATTATTTTATTTTATATGTATAACAAATAAATAAATATTTTAAATATGTATACTTTTTAATAAATGATTAATGTGTTTGAAAAATAAAAAGTACAAATTGCATAATACATTTTTATTTATTTAATCATTGTACAATATTTTACAAATATTTTTATAAAATAATTATCTTAAATAAAAAAGTGTCGAATAATAAAGCGCAATCGATAATCCAATCCATTCATATTACGAGGAGGATCAGCATCTAAATATATTGCATTCTCTTGTTCTACTTCTTCAACTAAAATATTATTATTTAGACAATTGATGTGGATATGCAAGTTCCACAGAACTGCTGTAGCACAAATGATAGCAATTGAAGTATTTAATCTGTTTAAAAGACCTTTTTTTAAACAAGAAAATTTGTTTTTCCATCGACCAAATGTCCTTTCTATAACATTCCTTGTTTTTTTATGACTTTTGTTATAATTACATTCTGCCTGATTAAGTGGTCGCAAAACAGGTGTAAGTAAATATGAGTGACAACCATAGCCATTATCACCTAAAAGCAGACCTACAAAATAAAAAAAACCAAGTACCAATTGCATTTGTATTTTACATATCTTCAAATTTTACTTTTTCTCAAAACGTTCTTGTCTCATATTTATATTTATATATTTACCTTTTATCCTATTCTCCATAAAAAACAGTTTCAAGGCACTGCGATCAAAGCAAGTGCTGTCATGAGTGCTTCCCGGGTGTCGAACATCGATATACAAAATTTCTCCTCTTGGTCCTACAGCAGCCTAAACAGATAAAAAAAATATATAATGCAAATATAATGCACAACAATATTTTTCATTGCAATTAAAATAATTGTATATAATTACCAAAATATTTAAAGAAAATAAGCCTTTTCTACTGCGAAAAATTTCTCCAATTTCTTTGGCAGGATTCGCAATTTTGATCAAAGTTCCGTCAATGCAAGCAGCAACGTTTCGAAATTCAGCTATTTCATAAAATTTTTTGATATTGTTTCGTTGACCCTCCAAAGTTTTAGGAAAGTATACATATTCATGAAGTTTTTCTGCAAATGCTATCGACACTGCTTTAATACATCTGCATACAGTGGGTTGCGAAAAGCCTCTTAAGTCACCTGTAACAATCTGATATTTATAACTTTATTGAAAATCATTTTAAATCTCAGTAAAATTTAATTAATACTTGTTTTAATAATTAAATATCTTAATTAATTGATAGTTGCCAATTGCATAAAATCGAAGAGCCATAAGAAGTTGCAAAACAGGTGATACTGGTAAACCTCTGTTACTATTTTTTGCCAAGTTATCTTTAATAATTGGCAATATATAATCAATAATTGCTTCTTTACTAAATTTAAAACGTTTTTTAAATGGTTCTTCATAGAAGAATTCAAAAGGGTTTGAGTAATCCCGAATGTAACGCTTAGGTATTCTTATATTTGCAACCTCTGCTATATCCATAAATTCCAAAAACTCTTCTAAATCTTCTATGGTAATCTAACCTGTAACAAATTTAAAAACAATAATTTAAATTCTTATTAAATAATTTTTGTAGTCATTACTGCTATTAATGTTAAAAATGGTCAATTTCAATATATATACTGATTCCACTATTACTTACATACTATTACATAAGTACTATAAAAAAATAAAGAAATAGTTGTACGTACATAAAATATTCAAAGATTTAACACTCGTGAAATAGGCAACAGAAATATATAAGGCCGATACGAGCATTCGCAGGATGTTTGTGCGGAAACTAAGCGTGTACATATATATATATATATATATACACATGTAACGAATTATACTTGTAAATTTTACAAGTATTTTTTGAATTGAAATCTCAATTCTTAAAATCATACGGGATGCTAGATTTGCATCTCACATATGAAATACCCCAGAAACCCCCCTAACTAATTTTTAAAATATTGCGAAAAAAACTCCTCGGCCAGGAGTCGAACCTGGAATCTCCGGCTTTCCGTGCCATCGCCTTCCCTGTTAGGCCACCGAGGCACTTTAGCGTTAACAGTATCATCNNACCANNTTCGATATATATATGAATATTGCGAGACNNACTCCAAGTGCCTCGGTGGCCTAACAGGGAAGGCGATGGCACGGAAAGCCGGAGATTCCAGGTTCGACTCCTGGCCGAGGAGTTTTTTTCGCAATATTTTAAAAATTAGTTAAGGGGGTTTCTGGGGTATTTCATATGTGAGATGCAAATCTAGCATCCCGTATGATTTTAAGAATTGAGATTTCAATTAAAAAAATACTTGTAAAATTTACAAGTATAATTCGTTACATGTATATATATATATATATATGTACACGCTTAGTTTCCGCACAAACATCCTGCGAATGCTCGTATCGGCCTTATATATTTCTGATAAAATATTCAATTAAGTACTTTTAATGAAAATGATAAGTTTGCAAAGATAAGTTTGTATTGCTTTTTCATTATTAAAGGATTAACATTATTACAGTTAGTTACGTATTCTTATATAAAGTTTAATATGATATAAAACTTATACTTACTGATAATAATTTTTGCTGATCGAGTAACTTTTTTTACATTCTTTTTAAAACAATTGTTTTTCTTTTACACTCTTGCTTTTAAATTATTGTTAAACAAGTGAAATAAAGACGAGGTTAGGTTAGGTTAGGTTAACTCATGTCTTTCTTGTTATAGTACACTTGTTATACGAGGATGGGGTGAAAAGTTTCTGGCCTGACCTAGAAATGGCGTCAGTAGGTCTAATTGTTGGCTTGCATTCTATAGTACTATATCTCACTAGCTTGTATATAAATTTTCAGGTCGATTGCTTTGTTAGTGTACATTTGAGAGCCGATTGAACAAGACGCCTCGATTGCTTACGTGAAAATGGAAAAATCAGAGAAGCGTGCGGTCATCAAATACTTCTATTTAAAAGCCCTAACACCATTACAAATTAAAGAAGAGCTGGATTCCACACTGAAAGACTCTTCTCCATTATATTCAACGGTTAAACAGTGGGTTTCTGAATTTAAGAAAGGTCGCACGAGCACTTCTGACGATCCACGTTCAGGACGCCCCGTTGAGGTCACAACTCCCGAAATGATTGAAAAAATTCATAAAATAGTGATGGAGGACCGCAGATTAAAAGTAAGTGAGATAGCTGAGGCTACTAGGATGTCAACTGAATGTGTACGCAATATTTTACATAAATATTTGAGCATAAGGAAGCTCTGGGTGCCGCGTTTGCTAACGGTCGATCAAAAATTCACCCGGAAAACTGTTTCAATCGAAAATTTGGCGCTGTACAAGCAAAACCCCAGCGAATTTTCGCGTTGATTTATAACTGTGGATGAAACTTGGATTCACCACTACACTCCTGAAAGTAAACAACAGTCAAAACAATGGATTGGACCAAGGTGAACCAACCCCAAAGAAGGCAAAAACAATTTTATCGGCAAATAAGGTTATGGCGACTGTTTTTTGGGATCCGAA